AAGATGCATTTAACCTTGGTCTAGATTCAAAAATTTTGGGACAGCTCTGCCTCCTCCGATGAATTTGATAACTGCTAATTCCTGTGAGCCCATGAAAAAAAAAATAAACCAACCAACCAATCAATGAAGATTTTTTTGGATTTAAAAAGTTATTTCCTGGCTGATCTTATGAAGTGTTCTAAATAAAATTTAAGCTAAATTTCAATAATGCTATTTTTCATGGCACATAAAATATTTGAATTGAATTGAAAATTAGTTTGCCTACTCCAGGTCAATTTTTAAAAATACTTTTTTGATACCTTTTTTGGAAATCATCTTATATCCTCCCCATCCACCATGAACCCAGAGGTGGTACATTGGATAGAGTGAGTGCTTGACTTGGAGACTGGAAGACCTGAGTTCACATCTGGCCTCAGACACTTACAAGCTGTGTGACCCTGAACAAGTCATTTAACCTCTGTCTGCTTCATTTTTCCCATCTGTAAAATGGGGATAATAATAGAATCTGTCTCCCAAGGTTGTTGTGAGGATAAATGATATGATATTTGTGAAGATCTTTGCAAGCCCTAAAACATTATATCAATGCTAGTTATCCCATCTCTCCCTATATAGCAAGTATGTGGCAGTTCATACAAAATTAGACATTTATAGACAGTGTCCCTGCCCCCCCCCCACATCTCTCTGTTAAGAGGAAAAAAGCTCAGATCAGTTTTAGGGTGAAAATTTCTGTGCTTAAACAATTGTAATTCATTCTTTAATCAGTTAGAATTTTAGAGAAAAATCAATACCCACTTTTAAGAAAATTATAAGAATTTTTTTCAAAAAATCTCCTTTTAAAGCATATGTTTATTAAACTTAAGTATTGATTATGTGCATTATGTGTTTTGGAAGAACAGTGCTTTAAGAAATATCTTAATTATGTGTGAAAAATCTACTTCAGTATAAAGTTCATAGAAGTATCCTGCCGACTCCTTCTAACCCACCCCACTCCTTTGCAGAATCCGTTGTCCCATAGATCCTGATACAAGGAAGTTATATTAGGATCATCTCATTCTAAAATGGTTACATTAACACATAGAACCCAATGGCATGGATACCATAGATCATATTATAGGAAGTTTCCAAATGACGTAAAGCATTCAAAAAAAACTTTTCTCTTAATTTTCTTCTTAAGAAGCTAGAGAATAAATATGCAAATTTTATACAAAATTAATTTCATTATTTTAAATAGATAAAAGATCCTCAAAACACACAAACCAAAGTATTAAATAATCATTACTCATAACAGTAAGAGTATTTTTCAGGAACAAATAAAAAATACTTCAAAATTAAATCTTGCATTTTTAGGCAATATTGCTAAGATAACTTTTATATTTTTAGTTTCCTTTCTTAAAATCACATATGCAAAATTGATGCTTGAATTAATCATACTAAGTTGTTAAGATATGGATCAGAATAGTTTCCCCAAATTCTTCCCAATTTGTCTTCACAAGAACTTTTCTATATAAAGATCCTCCTTAACCTTGGAACCGCCATACATCCTATGCTGAACACTTGGAGAGCAGCTAGGTGGTGCAGTAGATAGAGAGCCAGGTCTTAAGTCAGGAAGACCTGAGTTCAAATTTGGCCTCAGACACTAGCTGTGTGACCCTGGGCGAGTCACTTAACCCTCTTTCCCTCAGTTTCCTCACCTGTAAAATGAGCTGGAGAAGGAAATGGCAAACCACTTCAGTATCTTTGCCAGGAAAACCCCAAATGAGGTCACAGAGACTCATACATGACTGAAATGACTGAACAACAAAATGCTGAACACAGATTATAGAAAATGCTACAAATTCAGATAATCTAATAGTGTCTTATGCCTCCTATAAATCATAAATAATCAGGAAATGATTTTTAAAACTGAAAATGTTTGCCTTAATGATAAATGATGATGAATACACCCACTGGTGTTGCCTGTGCCCACGGGGGAGAAGAGCTAACGAAAGCTCCACCACATAAATCTAACAGTACTTCTGGGCACCTCTGTACTCATGGAGTGTGTAGCAAATCTTGCCTTGATAAAAGCTATTCTGAAAGCAACTGCATTTATTATACTGCCTGTGCTGTTTGCCGACTACAGCTGAAAAGGGGTTTTGCCTGGAATGAGCTACTTTATGAATTTTAATTTAGGACATAATATTAAAAGCTAAACCTGGATTAAAGAAGGGTGTGGGTTTGTTGTTGTTGTTGTTGTTGTTGTTATTCTGAGTTAAAACAGTATTTGGTAGAGTATGTGAGATAAAAAATTTTTATTTCAATTTTTCCCTGGGGGAAAAATGTGAGCTTCCCTGGTTGTGAAAACCTGTTCAACTTGGTTACCCCTTAAGCAATAGCATGTGCCTTGTTTTCAAAAACTGTTTCCGTGAGTTCTCCTAACCATAATCAATCTTCTATGATGAGATATGTATCTGAGGAGATAAGTTGGGAAGGATAAGTTTTTTCTAAATATTTTTTAAATGACTAAGGAAGGTTTACTCTCCTTGCCTTTGTAAACACTGCAGTGCTTTTTTACATTCTTTGTTTTTAGAAAAAAAAAACCTGGAAAAGCAGCTTGGCAAGAACTTGGTTTCCACCCGAAAATAGCCGCAGCTGTGATATATGATGATATTAAGTTTTTGAATGGATTATTTATGTGATTTCATAAGTTGTAAGTTGTGATCTTTCAAGAGAGATTGTGCTGGACAGAACCCAGAAAACAAATGGGAGGACTGAAAGAGATGAACAGAGTCCGGGTGCCATATGTTAAATTCTAGAGCAAGCATGTACTTTTTGCAAAGGAGTGAAAAGAGTTGTTGTTGAGAAGTACCCAGAGCTATGTTTTTTAGTTTACACTTTATATTTTGTTAAGTAGATTGCCCTAGCTGTAGTCTTTACCTCCAGTGTTTTTTGGAACATATACCCCCTGCAGCATTTCCATAACAAAGGGTTTTCAGTGTAATGTTGAAATTATTTTTCTTTATTACTTAAGCAGTGAAGGGAAAAAATAGTGAATGAAAGTATCACTATGACATAAACAAATGTATTCTTTTGCCTCAAAGCAGGACCATCTCATAGATAAATTGCAAATTGTAAACCACATTGGTGTGGGCACTTGCTAGAAATGTGTTAGGTCTTTGGGGACCCTACAATATCATTTCCCAAATTACTTCACCGGGAGCTTTTATGTCACTGCACCTATAAAAGGGTCATTAGATAATTTGGATCATTTGTTCCAGAGCTGGAAGGGATCTCCCTTAAGGTATTTTCTGGCCCAGCCCCTGACCTTAGGAGCTTGACAACAACATTTCACAGGTGAGGCCACTGAAGGTCACAGGGGTTGAGTTTCCCAAGGTCACTTGGCTGCTAGTAGTGAAGGGAAATGAAGGTCCAGGGTGCCTTACTTTCTACATAGGACATTTGTTTCTCTTTTATTTTATCAACAGCTTCTCTGTTTTCAAAAAGCAATTTAAAAATTCAACCAGTATAATAATCGCCTCGTAGTCCAAGAATAATTTTATAAAAATTAGGAAAATAAATTGTTGAACCAAGTGTTTAAAAAATTTAGTATTTATGGGAGAAAAAAATAATTTCCCTTGTTTCAAAACACTCTTATATACCCAGGATTTTGTGGGACATGGAAATGAATTTTTTACATTTGACAAATTGTGTAACATTGTAAGGGGGAAACATATCTTTAGAAATTCAGAAGTCATTAGCTCATCCTAAAACAAAATTGATTTTCTCCTATTTCTGTTATACATTAGCAAATGAGATTTTTTTAAAGTTACTAATAGAAAGGATCTAGGTCTCTGTACAGTCCCCTATAAAATTAGGTCCTTAAGAAATTCTTGTAGTTGGAGAAGTACATTTATGATAAGATTTCCCTTCTAAACCAGCTAACATTTAATTTCACAGTGAAGGAAATCTTATCGTTTCTATATAGATTTCATGAAGGTTCTCACGTTAATTAGCATCAACCCACATTAAAAAAGTTTTAATGTAGCAGAACGTCTACTTATTTGAACTTAAAAAAAAAAACCCAATAGTAACATCAGTAAGCTTTTAAAGTTGAGTTTGGCTTTTGCCCAAGATCTATGACACTATCTGAAATTATCAATTTGGCATTTTCATATCCATTGATACACTTCAATGCTGATGCTTCACTTCAAGGTCACATATTGTAAAAAAAAATCTTATTGAACCATTGTGCATTTTGAGTAATGTACAATAATGTCCTTTTTAGATAGAGGGAAATAGTCCTTGATAGTGTGGGGACACAAGTCAGAAGGAAAAACTACATACATGGTTGCCAGAAAAAGATGGAATAATTACAGAACAGCTTGGACATACACGTGTAAAGTAGAACAGGCCTTTATGATAATTAGGAAAGGCACTATACCTGTTTCATGGATGGATAGAAGATTTAAATATGCAGTACTGTAAATTGCTTTGTTATGGAAGATTTTTAAAATGAAACAGGTAAGAGGAAAAAGCATAAAAGCAAAGTCTAATACTTAAAAGGCCACAAATATGTAATACCTATCAGTGATATAATTATCTGTATTAGGCATTGGGCACCAATGAAGAAATAATCCCTCTACATTATGATTTTAATTGTTTTTTTTAGGTTAGAATTGCAGTTTAAGATAATTGGGGAATAATTCTTTTAGGGTTTTCAAGTCTTTGGAGCTATTGTCTGTTTTCCAGAAAACTCACTTTATGACACTGTAATTCCTAATTGTAAGTTGGCAGTGACTCTCCTATTACAAATGCAGTCACCTGTGACAATATGACTTCCTTAGCTCAGGCAGCTTGATCTCTGGGCAGGACATAATGGTAGATGACCGAATTGTAGAAAAGGCTATTGTAAAAGTACATCATCATCCAGTTTGGAGACAGTGTTTGCAGATCTTCTGAACAATGCAATATCTCTCTGTTCACTGCCAAAGAATGACAGTCATATTTAAAATATGTCATAGGTAAAAACAGCAACAATTGCCACGGAGCGGAATGGGAAGCCAGAGAACAATGCCATGAACATTAATGCTTCCATTTACGATGAGATTCAGCAGGAAATGAAGCGAGCAAAGGTGTCCCAAGCACTCTTTGCAAAGGTTGCAGCAACCAAAAGCCAGGTAAGAGCCTAACCCAAAACCAGGAATCAACAAGTTTGGGTTGGGTTTTTTGTTTGATTTGGTTTTAAATAAATGATGCCAGTAGGGTTGTCAATACATCATCATCTCTTTTCTCTATGCACTTGAGTCATGCCTTGGGTCAACAGTATACTTTAGTTAAGAACGTAATTTCTTGTGGGGTATTAATTGAATTCACTACACATTTATTTAGAGTATCTGGGTGCTTAGGGATACAAAGATGAAAAATTAACCTAATCCTTGTTTAATATAATAGAGGAGGATAGAATATGTACTCAAGTACATCCGATATTAGGTAGAGCGTGATGGGAGTAAATGAGACATTGCTTTCAGATGAGAGTAGGGAAGGCTTTGAAAGGGTTATACCTGAACTGTTTCTTCAATGCAAAGATGGGTTTAACAAGAGAAAACATGGCTGGATTGTGTTCCGGGTATGAAGGATGCCCAGCAGAAACAAACTGAGGAAGAAAGGAGCTGGACAAAATGGGGGAATAACTAGTGGGTCTAATTTGACGGGAATGTGGTAGGGTAGGAAGAGGTAGCAAATAATGTGAAATATAGCTGTAGATGTTGCAGTCAGATTGTGATGGACCTTAAATGTTGCCTTAAGGAGTTTGCAGTTTCCTCTATAAGCAATAAGGATCTACTGAAGCCTTTGGAGTGGGGAAGAAACATGGACAGACTTGAATATTTGAAAGATCGATTTGGTGGCTTTGTGAAAGAATTGATTAGGGATAAAGGAAGTAGAATTGACAGAAGTTGGCCACTGATTGGGTGTGAAAGGAGGAAGAGGAAAAAGTCAAAGATGGGTTAGAGGTTTTGTTCTGACTAGGAAGATGATGGTACTCTCGACACAAATGGGGACATCCAGAGCATGGGCAGGTTTTGTCAGGGGATATATTCAATTTTGTACATGTAGAACTTGGTTGTTGGTGGGAGATCCAGGTTGCAGATGGAAATGCAGCACTGTAGCTGAACAGAGAGATTAAAACATGGAAATAAAGATGGAAATAAATATCTAGGCATCATCTGCCTAGAGGCAATCATTGCAGAGTGGGAGAGACTTCCATGGCAAAGAGCATAGAGGGAAAAGAAGGTTCAGAATGGACTAGGGGCAGGACAGTGGGAATAGAGTAGGGGGAGAGATTGTGTGAACAGTCTGAAAAAAACCAATCAATCAATCAAACAACAAGTATTTGTTGAGCACCTACTTGATTCTGGGAACTGTGCTAGGGGATACAGAGACAAAAATGAAATGGTCCCTGAACTCAGTGAGTTTCCATTCTAGTGGAAGAGACAGCAAGTGTGTGTAGTATACATACATATACATGTGTATATACATATACACACATGCACACGTATGTATACACATATACATATGTATATGTTTTATACATGTATATATATTTTATACACATGCATGCACACACATATATAATTAATACAAGGTAGTTTAGGGAGAGAGAACATTACATTTACAAATCCTACTTGGTCATGATGAATAAAACATTTTTAAAATTCACTGCTGGATCCTATTTACAAGTATAGGAGAACTGGAAATTTTGAGTATTGTCACAGAGCAGCATATTATGTGGGGAGGGGAAGCCCTGAATTATTACTGTTACTTAAATATTCTAACTACCTTGGTTTCCCTCATATAAATATTTAAAATAATAATTCTGATTCTTCTGTTCTAACTATAACCTCTCCTCGCTCAGTGCTGCTGTTATAAGGAAAGCTGAATTCTTTAACCTCCAAATAAATTTTCACATATAGTGGCATATTGTATATTTTCCTTTTATGCAAAAATCTTCCAAATAGTATGGATATATAAAGTGTTTTAATTACAATGCACAATATATTATAAATTTATGAAAATTGAGAATATCAATGCAGAAGAGTAAAAATTATGCAGTCTATTCATTTCATGAAAAATAGGAAGTGAAAAGATGTTCTGAGTAGTATTGCTATAGATTCTTCACTTTATTGTCATCACTACTAAAATAATTTCTGTGAGCAAAGTCAAACCATGTATGCATGTGTTGACAACACAATTAAGAGAGGAGCTAAGAGACTGAGCAGAATACAGGATTACTTTCTCTTTTCAACAAAAACATTGGAAAATATTTCCGTGGAAGGTGTTATGGTCATTCTAGGCTTTAATGTCAGGTTTTACAAACTGCAAACTTCTAGCATGCCTCATCCAGTTGGGCAAGCATCCACTAGGTTCCTGCTTTGTGCAAGTACCTGTCCTGGGTTCTGGAGCCTCTCTGATGACAAACTGCCTAGCCCCTGCACCCCAGCGAGCTTGTTGACTAGTGTACGAATGAGCCCTGTCTGCAAGCAACCTCCCCCAGAGTTAGAAAACCGGTATCCTTGACAGCTCTCCCAAGTGATTTTACTGAGAATCCCTTAGCTGTCCATTTCTGGTAAAACCTACAATCATGTATTTGGTCTGCGATGTTACAATATGCATTTTTAGCATTTAAAAACATTTTACGGTTGCAACATCACTCGTGGAACTTAACGTAAGCTTCAGTTTAGTACTAGGTTACTCTTTTTTAAGTTATAGGCTGTAAGGAATACTTAAGGGATATTTTGGAAATGTTATATAAAAATGATTAAGCTCAAGCTGTGGACTGTAAAAATTATAGCTTTATAGGCCACATGCCTGCCTACCCTTCAATCACTGTCAAAGTGATAATTTCTACAATAATATGTTTCTTTTATTGTGGGATTCTAAACATCAAGTGCTGTTTAAACATTAAACTGAATTGTTTATGTTAGTGCTGTACTCAGCGTGTCATACATCAGGCCACTGTAATCTCTCATGGAATGTAAAATTCTGTCATGAATCATGGCTTGTATATCGGAAATTACTGTAATTTTGATTGGAAATTACAGGGCTCTTGAAATGTTTCTAATTAGGATAGAATGTTCGAGCAGCTTCAAACCTGTATGCTTCTTCAGATGTCTTTATTTACATGGCAAGACTGTACATTAACGGCAAATGTCCTGTTCTCCCTTCAGCCCCTGGCCTAGCCCTGCCACTGTTCTCACTCTGGATATTTCATTTCGTAGGGAGGAGGAGCTCACGCTCAAGTATATTTTGTTATTTTCTCCCTTGTTGACATGCCGTCTTTGGGGTTTGACCCAGATCCTCAAAAACCAGGGTTCAAAGGCTTTCTTTCTCAGAGGGCAAAGGTATCTGCCAAAACATCACAAACAGGCAAGCTACTGTTTTTTAAAATTAAATTATGGAATTTAGCGTTGATATAAAAACAATTACTTTTTGTTTAAAAATAACACATTGAGATCACACAGTTGTACATAACTCTGTGTCATCTCATGTTTGCCTTAACTGATCCCACAGGTCCGTTCATATCTGTCTTGTGTCCTGTGGTGGAGCTTTCGGCAGCCATCTTGGATTCTCTTTATTAAATGTAAGCTAGCCTTCTCTTCTTCACCCAGACTGTGCCTACCATAGTCACATGAGGGATGGATGTTCCTGGATTTCTTAAACAGCCTTCTTTCTTAGGGTCTGTGCTAAGGGCAGACCATTTTCCCAGTGTGAAAGAAAAGATCAGCTTCTAAGCATTCTGCCCAACTGATTTCTTTCTATGAGATTGAGGTAAATCTCACTGGTCCAAAGGACTTCACAAAATATAAGCAGGGAAGAAAATGACCAATCAATTTAGATTCCCCATGATGAATGGTCCCCAAGATGGATCCCTAACCACTGCCCCCCCCAACCATTTTGTTCTTCTCTCTGACTCTCCTAAAACTGCCTTTTCTTTCTCTTCTTTATGACGTTATGAATAACCAACATTATTACAAAGCATCAAATTCTGCCAGCATAGGGAGAGTAGCAGGCCAGGAGAAGAATAAAAACATGGTTATTTACTCAAGTTCTGTTTTAACATGTTGAAGATGCAGATCAGGAAAAAACTACCTACAGAGCAGTCTAGCCTTGTCTGTGATCAGCAATTTCAACTCTTAAAAAAAATAATAATTTGGAAGAGACAGATAGCTTTTCATGGTTTAGGACTAAACTGTAAGAGTAGGCTAGATTTGCACCGACCTTTGGAGAGAGGATTGGGCATGAACGTGAAGGGGAGGACAATTTACTTCCCTTCATTCTATTCTGTTTGCATCTGACTCCTGTAGCTAAGGGATTGCCCTGGTATCTTCATCTTTTGAGTTAATCATTTAAATATCATGGGGTACTCAATAGCTAAAGAGCAGCACCATGTGCCCTCTAACCATGCCACAGGTAAAGGGAAATTGATCATATCGGGCTGTTCAGGAAGAGACTGAGGGGAGCTGGGAGGGAGTCTTTCCTTCCTGGATAACCCAGTCCTCAGTCCTCCTAGAATCAAGACTTAGAACCCAATTCTTTGTGTATATAATCTAGAAGAAGAAAAAATAGCCTATTCACAGACAAGGATGGTTTTGCTAATTTATATGTCATCAAAAAGTCTTTTGTTGCTGCTAAAGTTTGAATTTTCTAGAATTTTAGAAGACTTTGGCAGGTACATTAAACTACACTGGCATAATTTTTAAATACCTACTAAATTGCAAAAGTAGAATTTGTACTTATACAAATCATAAATGTGCTTGTAGTCTTTGCTCAAATGTATCTAAAGCTGGAAGAGACTTCAGACATTATCCAATCCAACCTGTTTCACTTTGCAAGTGAGGAAACTGAGGCCTAGAAAAGATAAATCATTTGGCCAAGATCCCCAGGATTATATTGGAATGCATTTAGTAGGGTTTATTATTATAGAATTACTCTATTATTGTGTCTTCTTGAGGGATACACATGGGATTTGATTTAATAGAGATTTCTGAGTAAATCCAGAGTAAGATTAGATTTTCATACTTATTTCAGGAATGTAAGTTACCTATGTTTAAGCATGGAAAAAAAGATGAGATCTAAACATAGTGTGAATAACTACAAATGAATATTTTTATACTCTGAA